CTAGCCACCCCTGCACGAGTCCTGGTTTTCATGCTCTAGTGGGAGTGGGAGTGGTAACCCGAGAGGGAGGTGCCCACTATTTCCCTACTGGGCCCACTCCATGATCATGCGCTTTCTGGTGGTTCTGTAGTCTAACTTGGCAGATCAGCCCGCTGTGCCAGCATCTGCTATCTGATGCTGCAGCAAAGCCCAACCAACCCTCACCCTCTCAGATTTATGCCTGCACCAGTAGGGACAGTCAACTAAGCCTTGCTCTTCCCTTATCTAGCTCACATGAGATCCACAGTTGTTGTAGCCCTGCCTGGTCTGGTCAGTCCCCATCCCAATTCGCGTTTTCCAGTGGGCGAGGTATTCCAGCAGGGTGGCCCTCCACATTCCTCCACCAGCTTTACCCCCTCCCTCCCTGGTTCCTATTAGTTGAGCGCTATGGTCCAGTCTGGCATGGCCCGCCTCACCTCAGCATTTGCCAGTGGGTGCTGTAACCTGGCCTAGCCCGGCCTACCCCCAGTTCCAGCTGGTGGGGGTTATAGTCTAGTCCAGCCCAGCATGCACTCTATCCCAGCTATAAAGTGTGCTGGTATGTGTTACGACCATACCTGGCCCGACCCACACTGTACTAGTGCTTGGATTCATCAGCAGGTGATCTGAATTGGTTCAGCCTGGTCTGCTCCTTGACCTATGCCAGATGTATGCTGGTGGGTACCTCTCCGTGGCCTGGTCTGGGCTGTTCCTTTTTGTGCTTCTTGTGCTTACCTGCAGGGACTCTGTCCTGCCAGAGGAGTTGTCCAGGCTCCTCCATCAGAACCTCTCCCAATGCCAGGTCTTATGCATACCGGTGGGTCCATGAACCGGTATTTTTAATGTTGTTTACATAGTTGAAGGATGGATGCTCCTTTGAGCCATCGTTTAGGATGGGGATGGTCCTGGGATGAAGGCAGGTGGAATAAATGTTGCCATTTTTTTCTTTTTCTCCTGTGTCCACAGAGGGGACAGGAAATGGGCCTACTCCTTTCTGTCAAACTATGCCAGCGCCAGGAGGGACAGTCATTTAATGTCACCTTAGAGACCCTGATATGGGGAAGAATGTGCCGAGGGTGCTACTTGAGTGGTTTTGATAGTTCTCAGAAGTTGTTGGTTTCCTTGCTGCAGGGTTGAGAGCTCTGCCAAGCTCTGTTGGCTGACCAATTCTACCTCAGTGTGCATCCACAGACCCAGACACTTGTTGTAAAGCTTGTTCAGGAGAGTTGTCCAACCTGCTTTGCTTTCCATCTTCTGATGAGGCACTTGAAGTTCTCTGCTGGCCTAGATGAGCTGGCTGTCATGTCTCTTGTGTCTGATAAATGTGCTTTAATGAAAGATTAGGAATGAGTATCGTCAAGGTGGCATAGTAAGCTAATCCTCTGCCTGAAATGCCGGCATCCATTATGGTCTTTGGGTCATGTCCTGGCTCATCCACTTCTTTTTTAAATGATTTATTTACTTTGATTGGAAAGGCAGATTTACAGAGAGATGGAGAAATATAGATATCTTTCTTCCACTGGTTCACTCCCCGGTTGGCTTCAGTGGGTAGAGCTGAGCCGATCAGGAGCCAGGAGTTTCTTTTGGTTCATCCTCTTTTGCTTTCCCAGGCCCAAAGTTTTGGGTCCTTGCATGCACCCGTATGACAGATGGGAAGAAGCTCCTGGCTTCAGATCAGCTCAATTCTGTCCATTGCAGCCACTTGGGGAGTGAACCAGAGGCTGGAAGATCTTTCTCTCACTCACTCTGTAAATCTGACTTTCCAATAGAAATATAAATATATCTTTAAAAAAAGATTTCAGGAACAGGCATTTTGAAAAAATTGTTTTACTTATATTATGTAGCAACATGTCATATTTGGCACACAGTGACAGGAGCGTAGTGATGCTTTCTGCCTTACCCCCCATATACAACAAGGTTAGGACTTGTGATGGAGTTGTTGGGCTCGGTGGTTACGCTGCTGCCTGGGAAGTCTGTGTCCCACATCGCAGCATGCGTCTTCTGCGCCTGTTTCCTGCTAATTTGTCCCTGGGCGGCAGCGGTTGGCTCCAGTGCTCATGTTCCTGCCACACGTGCGGGAGACTCAGATTTGGTTCCCAGCTCTTGGCTTTGGCCTGGTTCAGCCGCAAAGATTACAGGCTTTGGGGGAATGAGATAGCCCAGGAGAGAGCTCTGTTTCTCTTTTCTAAATAAAACAATTTAAAAAAAAAAAAGTACTCTAAATGAATTTTGTCATAATCTGTTGTACTTGAGAAGGATTGTTGAATCACACTGCCCAGACCTCCATATTTACCAGTTTGTGTGCAAGAAGAGCCTGAAAAACTGAATATCACTATTTCAGGGGATGTTTGGATGTTTTTGTTCCCCCCCCTCCCTTTTCTTTTTGTCTTATGGCTGTTGGAAAGGTTTGCTTAATTATAGATTGAAGGATATAAGTATCAAAACTGTATGTTAATTTTGTTCATTTGTCTCTATATTCCATCATCTGGCTGTTTGCAGCTTGGAATTAGAAATTCTCAACAAAATGGCCAGGGTGTCTTGCACTTCAGTTAAATGTTGTCTAATACCTTCTTCCTGAATGATTCTTAGAATTGATTTATTTATAAAGAGAAGAATAATATAGGTTGATCATCCACAGTATGAAATTCAATGCTTTTCAAAATCTAAAACTTTGTGAATATTGATACAATGCCACAATGCAAAGTTCTGACACCTGACTTCACATTACCAGGTTTATTCAAAACACAAATGCACTGAAAATATATAAAATCACTCTCAGGGTATGTGTTTAAAATGGGACAAGAGGTAGAAGATTTTTCTTTCTCTTGTAAACCTTACTTTCAAAGAAAAATAGGTAAGCCTTTAAAAGAAAAAGAATTTTTAAAACAATATGAAAGATTGGACCTGCCATGGTGGCCTAGTGGCTAAAGTTCTCACCTTGATTGATTGTGCCAGAGTCCCATATGGTCACCAGTTCTAATCCCGGCAGCCCCGCTTCCCATCCAGTTCCCTGCTTGTGATCTGGGAAAGCAATGGAGGATGGCCCAAACCCTTGGGACCCTGAACCCTCGTGGGGGACCTGGAAGAAGCTCCTGGTTCCTGGCTTTAGATTGCTTCAGCTCTGGCTATTGTACCTACTTGGGGAGTGAACCAGTGGATAGAAGATTTTTTTCTGTGTCTCCTTCTCTCTGTAGATCCATCTTTCCATTAAAAAAAAAAAACTTGAAAAAAATATGTGTGAGTGAGAAAAGGTTATCTTGTCTCTAAAAGTAGAGCAGGTGAGTTTTGTACTGGCATCCAGGTCATGTCAGACGCTGGCACTGCAGGCAGCAACCTTACCCACTATAGTACAGTGTCTACCACTGAAGCCACCTTTTGTGTTATGATCCCATTCCTTCCCTGTAGTGTGATGAGCATAGATACTCTTTTGAGGCTAAGGGGAAAGATAATAAAGTTAGAATGATAGTGACTGGCTGGGAACCTAGGCTGATGAATGATATGCTCAGATCATAGAATATTCAAAAAATAACTTTTAAGTTTGGTTTTTCAGTAGAGGAACTTGGTAAATGTTATAGAACGTGGTTTAATGAATGAGTATGTTATGTTTAATATATTAGAGCACTAACCTAAGTAATTTGTGTATCAATAGAAATTATAAGTTGTCTGTAAATGAGTATTAAAGTGCAATGGAGATAATACTTCACACTATTTGGTTCCTTAAAATTAAAAAATAATTTTTAATTTGATGCTTGATAATTATGTATTATTATTGTTAGGTTCAGAAGCGATTGAGAAAGGAGGGTTTTATTTTAGTCAGAGAGTCTGCTGGACTGCTTCCTGGCTGGAGACAGCTGGGGACCACTTCCTGTGGAGGGCTGAGCGCATGAGGGATGGCCGCCCAGTTTCTACAGCACTGGGCTTTTGTACATCATGGTCTTGGGGGATGGGAAAAGGCAGCAGCTCCAAGGTTTGTGCATTCCTGCGACAAGTAGCACACAGGGTACTCAACGTGGTGGGTGTTGACCTTCTGCACATGGACAAGGTTAGGGTAATTTTTGCATTCCAAACATCCCTGGATGACAGAGAGAACATGCAAGCACACCAGTGTGCCTGTCCACCTGTTGACTACCCAAATTTTAGCTGGGCAAAAGCTGGAAGTCAAGAATGCAATCTGGGCCTCCCGCGTGGTATTAGGAACCCCATCACTTGCTATCATCACTTCTCATAATCTGCCTTGGCAGGAAGCTGAGTCAGGAGCTGTGTCCAGAAATCAGACTCAGATACTTCAGTATCTGAACACCTGTCCCTTTACAGAATGTTCAAAAAATATAAAATTCTGTTTTGGGCTTCTATTTGCTTACCTATAAAATAGGCAGAGTGGTTCACAAGCTTTTTTTTTTTTTTTAATATTTATTTTACTTTTATTGGAACATCTTCGACTGCTTTCCCAGGTCACAAGCAGGGAGCTGGATGGGAAGTGTAGCTGCCGGAATCAGAACCAGTGCCCATATGGGCTCCTAGTGCGTTCAAGGCGAGGACCTTAGCTGCTAGGCCACCGCAAGAGTCCCCAAAATTTTAAAAATTATAATCTTTGGGGTAGATGTATGCATAGTTCTTGGGAAGGAAAGCATTTTTTTAAACTTTTAAAATTATTTTATTTGAAAGACTGAGATGCAGAGATCTTCCATTTGCTAGTTCATTTCCTACATGCCCATAGTGGCTAGGACTGGGCGAGGCTAAGAGTGCCAGGAGCTCCATTTCCTTCTCCCAAGTGGTTGGGAGCCACCCAAGTGCTTCCGCTGTCATGGGCTGCTTCCCATTGTACGCATTAGCAGGAGGCTGGATGGAAGCAGAGCAGCCAAGACTCAAACTAGGCACTCTGGCATGGGTGGTAAGTGAGCATCACTAGTGGCTTGTTAGTATTTGCTGACTTGCAATACTTTCTTCCTTTATTTTAATTGTATTTTTTTTTTTCCTTTCAGAAAAAGCCTGTGCTGAAGCTGGGTCAGCAAGAATGTCACTCCTTATATTGGTGTCCATTTTCTTATGTGCGGCTTTTGTTATGTTTTTGGTATACAAAAATTTTCCACAACTTAGTGAGTAAGTACATCTAAATAGAAACTGAAATTGTCTTGATGTTTCTACAGAAGCAGATTAAAGGTTAAAATTCACAGGTGTATTCAGCAGCCGAATGGATATAGTAATTATGCATCAGTTCTTGCGTATTTTTCCCTTATCAACACTGTTACTTAAATGCTTCTTTTCACAATTGCCTCTTGATTTTCAAACACTTGTGTGTGTGTGTGTGTATGTGTGTATGCATGTATAAATGATTGTATTTGAAGATAGGCAGGCAGAGGTCTCCCATTCCACTGGGTACATCCCCAATGCCAGCAACAACCATACCTGGTCCAGGCCAACGTCAGGAGCTGGGATCTTAATCCAGGTCTCCCCTGTGAGTGTCTCTGCGACTCAAGTCCTGGCGCCTTTCTTCGTATGTCTTTATTTAGTCTCCTTTTACCCAGGTTTTTCCTGTCATTGTTTCCTGGGGGTAGTTCAAAGTACCAAAAGTTCATGTTTCCTCCAGATTCCTTTCATTCACAAGTTTTTTATACTTCAAAATTTATAGCTACACTTATTTTAATATTTTTATTTCTTACATCAATGGAAAATCCCTTTAGTGTTATGGAATTTTATATTGTTACTGTTACTATGGACACTGGTAATTGCAGACTTTGTATAAGCTATTGCCAGCAACACTAGCATCCTATAGGAGAACTGGTTTGAATCCTGGCTATGCCACTTCTGATCTAGTCCCTGCTAATGTGTTTGAGGGCTGGTGCTGTGGTCCAGTGTGTAATCCTCTACCATGAAACGCCAACCTCCCATTTGGGAATTGGTTTGTGTCTTGGCTGCTCCACATCTTATCCAGCTCCCTGCCTATGGCCTGAAAAAGAGGTAGAGGATGGCTCAAAGCCTTGGGCCTTTGTACCCATGTGAGAGATCTTTAGGAAGCTCCTGACTCCTAACTTCAAATGGCTGATCTCAAGCTGTTGTGGCCTTTGGGAAATGAAGCAACTGATGGAAGTTATTTCTCTCTTGTTTCTCCTTCCTTCTGTAAATCTACCTGCAAGTAAAAACAAAAATAAAATAAATGAAAACATGTAGGAAAGAGGGAGATCTTACTTGCTGTTTCACTTTCCAAGTTCCTGCGTTGGCCAGGGCTGAAACAGGCGTGAGACAAACTGATCTAGGTTCCTGAACAGGTGGCAGCTTCTACAGTCAGGACCTGCTGCAGCTCCCAGAAGGCACGTTAGCTGGAAGCTGGAATTAGAAGTGCAGTTGGGGGACTGACCCTGTTTCGTAGCAGATAAAGCTGCCATCTGTGACACTGGTGTCTATTATGGATGCTGGCTCAAGTCCCAGTTGCTCCGCTTCCAAATCATCTCCCTGCTAATAGCTTGGGGAAAGAAGCAGAAAATGACTCAAATGCTTGAGCCCCTGTCACCCATGTGAGAGACCAGGAAGAAGCTTCTAGCTCTTGGCTTTATTCTGGCGCAGCACAAATGTGGCCATCTAGGGAATGGAAAAGCTCTCTCTTTGTCTGTCTTTCATAACTCTGAAGTGAAAAAAAAAGTATTAAAAAAGAAATGGAACTTAGATTGAACCTAGACACTCGTGTGGGTTGTTGATGTCCCAAACAGCGCTAAACCAAATACTTATTGCAAACATTGAAATTTATAAATAAGAAATCATTTTAGTAAGAGGTATTTTAACTGGACATAAAGCCATTGTTCTACGTAGTCAGTTGTTTCATATAAACAAATGAGCATAATACACATTAAATACAAATGAGATTAAAGCTTCAAAAAATGAGAAATTATTTCCAATCAATGAACTGAATACAAATAATGGAAACAGAAGAGTGTTTTTACCATTTCTGAACTTTGAGATGGAGTATTTCAGGAAAAGTGTGAACAATTAATTCTTTAAAATTCTTTCCTAATTTCTGTTGTCAGTGTTGATTGACTTTAGCTTGTCATGAGGTTTACCCAAAATGATATTAAATATATTTTTAATCTGTTAACAGCTGTAGCATATCTTATATTTAATTTAAATTTTAAGTCAATGTTGGAGCAATTGTTTAACCTTAGTTTGTATCAGCCTTAACTTTTGTGTATAGATTGCATATTTCATAATATTACATGAGATCATTAAGAAACATGATTTCTAGACCTTTGTACTTAAAAATTGCTGATTTGAAGTTAGTGTAAATCAAGACATCAAATCATTTTGGTTAAAACTTCATGTGTTGAAATTGACTTAGATATTGGCTTGGCAAAATTCTGTCTTTTAAAGTTTTTTATTTTTATTTCTTTAGAGAAGAAAGAGTGAATATGAAGGTTCCCAGAGATATGGATGATGCCAAGGCTCTAGGAAAAGTTTTATCCAAATATAAGGACACCTTTTATGTACAAGTACTTGTAGCTTATTTTGCTACATACATTTTGTATCCTTTTTCTAGTTTTGTTTAAGAAGAGGTTTGCTATTCAATTATACATAACTTTTTCATTTAAAAAAATTACTAATATAATGTAATAGTATTCAATAAAATATTGAAAATTAAAATGAAAAAACATTTTCAGTTTCTCTATCTCCTTAACTCAGTTATTTTTATTTCTGAGTATTCATTATCAGTGCTTTTGTATTCCTTTTACTTTGGTTAACATTTTCTTCTCATCTGTATTATTCAAGGTATTATTTTCTTACATAATGGATTACTTTAATTTACTTACTTAGAGTTCATAGTCACCAAATCATGTTTTGAGTGTTCCCTTGGATTTGTACTTATGATTTGGTTGCAGTCTTTTGCTTTTTGTGTTTATATCTCCTTTGTTGATTTTTTTTAGTTGCCTTTGTAAAATTTGCTAAGAGAATAATTTGTCATTTAAAGGAATGAATGTTTTTTTAGTGAATTTTTTTGCATATATGTATTTACAAATATATATGTCTTTTATGGAAACATGTTATATTTTGATTAGTCAGGAAAATAGCTTTATTCTTTGAACCTATTTTTAAACACCCTTGTTATTAGTGATCAATTTTAATTTGTGGCTTTTAAATTTTATTTCTGAATTTTATCTTTTATTCTTATCTAGCCTATATTTCAAATCTTGACTAGTGAATGATGTTACATCCTGATGTTTATGAAAGTAATTTTAAAAGGTAGATTAGTTACTTTGTTAATATTCTCAAATTTGTTGTATCTGCTCTTTTTATTTCTTGAGTTTCTTTTGGATTGATGGGATTTCAAGTATAACCTGCTGGAAACTTGAATGTATTCCTTTTTTTTTTAAAATTTGTGTTAGATTAAATATTATATACCCCTTTCTCTATTTAATTGCCTTAAGCAAATGCCTCGAGTATACATCGGGGAAATTTCTTCCAACATATGTAGCTTAGCAACAAGAATATTTGCGAAGCATTTTGGTGCTAATGCACACTCTTTGCTGGCATGGTGAGGATGCATTTGTGTTCAGGTGATGTGAATTATGTGGGTACTTCATCCTTCCTATTCATCTCCGGAAACAGTTCAGTGCAGAATAATGGGTGCATATTTTTATGACAGGCTATGTGGAGCAGCTGTTAGTAATTCAGTTGTATATATTGTGTTTCAAACAAGCAGTAGCTATTGTCTTTTTTTTTTAAGATTTATTTTTATTGGCAAGTGAGATATGTATAGAGAGGAGACAGAGAGGAAGATGTTCGTTTTGATAATTCTCTGCCCAAGTGGTCGCAACAGTTGGGGTTATGCCAATCAGGAGCCTCCTCTGGGTCTCCCACGAGGGTACTGAGTCCCAACGCTTTGGGCCGTCCTCGACTGCTTTCCCAGGCCACAAGCAGGGAGCTGGATGGTAAGTAGAGCTGCTGAGATATGAAACAGCGACCATATGGAATCCTGGGCATGCAAAGCGAAGACTTTAGTCACTAGGCCACTGCACTTGGTCCGCTACCATGTTTATTAATTCCATTTGTCACCTAGGTGTAAAATCCTTTAGAGTTAGGTATATAGATGATTTTGTCTTTATATAGATTAATAATAAACTGCAATATTTTTTCCAAGTAAGAAAAAAACTGATCTTTATTGTATGTCTTTTATGAGGTTTTAGGATCATTTTGTGAACAAAGCATGGAATTTCCATTCACTTTGAAAGTCATCATTTTGTTCAGTTTGCTCAATAGTTTTCAGAGGAATTAAAGGGAGATCCACTGATTCAGCCCTTCAGTTATATAACTGAGTATCGATTTTCCATTGGACAATGTTGTAGCCTAAAGTCTGTATTGTAGAAAACAGTAATCTGCTGAGCCCAGAGCAATTACTCAGTTGGTTAATCTTCCACCATCTAAGTGCCAGAATTTCATGTGCATGCTATTTCATGTCATGGTGGTTCCACTTCCCATCCAGCTTCCTGCTTGTGTGTGTTTCTTTCTTTCTTTGTGTGTGTTTTAAAATTTACTTATTTTGGACCTAGAACGATAGCACAGCGATTAAAGTCCTTGCCTTGAGCACACTGGGATCCCATATGAACACTGGTTCTAATCCTGGCAGCCCTGCTTTCCACCCAGTTCCCTGCTTGTGGCCTGAGAAAGCAGTCGAGGATGGCCCAAAGCTTTGGACCCTGCACTTGGTGGGAAAACTGGAAGAAGCTCATGGCTTTGGATTGGCACACCTCTGGCTATATGGGGAGTGAATTAGTGGATGAAAACTATTTCTGTTTCTTTTTCTCTGTGTACACTGGCTTGCCAATAAAAATAGATAAAATTTTTAAAAAATTTAATAATTTTTATTGGAAAGGCAGATATACAGAGGAGGAGAGACAGAGAGGAAGATCTTCTGTCCAATAGTTCACTCCCCAAGCGGCCACAACGGCTGGAGCTGAGCCATTCTGAAGCAAGAAGCCAGGAGCTCTTCCTGGACTCCCACATGAGTGCTGGGTCCCAGGGCTTTATGCTGTCCTCGACTGCTTTCTCAGGCCACAAGCAGGGAACTGGGTGGAAAGCAGGGCTGCCAGGATTAGAACCAGTGTTCATATGGGATCCCGGTGTGCTCAAGGCAAGGACTTAACCCACTGTTTCTCCCAGGTTGTGGATCAGCCAGTGCTGAATATTGATTCTCGGCACTCTAACGTGAGACATGAGTGTCTTAACTGCTATACCAAAAGCCTGGCTCACATTTGATTATATCATTTTTTTTATTCTTAAAAAACACTTTATTTTTATTTTGAAAGAGTTACAGGGAGATTCTGAGAGGTAGAAATCTTTCCATCTACTTGTTTAGTCCTTAAATGGCAGCAATAGACAAGGCTGGGCTAGAGGGAAGCCAAGAGCTCCATTGAAATTTCCCACATACGTGGCAGGAACTGAAAATTTGGGCCGTCTTTTGCTGCTTTTCCCAGGGCGTTAACAGGGAGAGGTATCAGAAGTGGAATAACTGGGATAAGAACCATGAAAGATATAGGTGGCTTATGTCACAGAATCCACTGTAACACAATGTCAGCATTCCCCACTGTCCCTGACTTAATTTTAAAAATTTCTGATTGGCACAAGAGAAAAAATAAAATTGACTACTGAAAAAAAAAATTAGTGTTATGTTTTATTTGAATCCATGTATCAAAGATTTTTATCATTTCTGCATATAGTCAGCATAAAATTTATGAGATATTTTACCTTTTTTTCATGTCAAGTCTTTGAAATGTGGTATCTTGAGACTTGAGTCATTGAACATTTTGGTGTCAGTTGCTGATTATGGCTAGTTGCCACTGAATTGAACAGTGCAACACAAATACCTTTTTCAATAATGCCTAATTTCCAACTTTATGTGTAAATTGCTTTTTTTTAAGTATTTATTTATTTATTTTTTATTGGAAAGACAGATATACAGAGAGGAGAGACAGAGAGGAAGATCTTCCGTCCGATGATTCACTCCCCAAGTGAGTGCAACGGCCGATACTATGCTGATCCGAAGCCAGGAGCCTCTTCCGGGTCTCCCACGCGGGTGCAGGTTCCCAAAGCTTTGGGCCGTCCTCGACTGCTTTCCCGGGCCACAGGCAGGGAGCTGGAAGGGAAGCGGGGCTGCCGGGATAGAACCGGCGCCCATATGGGATCCCGGGCATGCAAGGCGAGGACCCAAACCACTTGCGCCACCATGCCGGGCCCGTGTAAATTGCTTTTAATGTTCCCATTTTAACCCTAGCAGTTAATCATCTAATAATTTTTTAATAGTCGGGGAATAGAAAAGACTTTGAGAAAAAGATTTATTTATTTTCTTGAACAACAGAGACAGATATACCCAAAATCAGTTCATTCCCCAGGTGCGCACAACAGTCAAGGCTCTATGGGCACAGAACTCCATCTATGTCCCCTACATGGGTAGCAAAGACAAGTACTTGGCCCATTATCTGCTGCTTCTTGGGTTCCTTAGCAGGAATATAAATTGGAACCAGAGTAGCCATCTTGTGCTCAGTATATGAAATGTGCTTCGTTTCCTTTTTTTGCTTTTTAAGGTTTATTTATTTATTTGGAAAGGCAGATTTTACAGAGTGAGAAAGAAGGAAAAAGAGAGAGGTCTTCTGTCACTCCCTAAGACCACAGTGGCCAGAGCTGAGCGAATCTGAAGCCAGGAGCCAAGAGCTTCTAGGTCTCCACGCAGAAGCAGGGTCTCAAGGCTTTGGGCCATCCTCCACTGCCTTCCCAGGGCATGAATTGATGCCCATATGGAATCCTGATTTGTGCAGGCAAAGATTTAGCCACTGATCCATCACACTGGGTCCTCACTGAGAACTCTTATTTTTAAAAAAAAAAAAGATTTATTTATTTATTTATTTATTTATTTATTTATTTATTTATTTATTTATTTATTTATTGGAAAGTCAGATATATAGAGAGGACAGGCTGAAAGGAAGATCTTCTGTCCGATGATTCACTCCCCAAGTGACCACAGCAGCCACTGCTTCGCCGATCCAAAGTCAGGAGCCAGGAACTTCCTCTAGGTCTCCCACGTGGGTGCAGGGTCCCAAGATTTGGGGCTGTCCTTGACTGCTTTCCCAGGCCACAAGCAGGGAACTGGGTGGGAAGTGGAGCTGCCAGGATACAAACCAGCACCCATATGGGATCTCAGCATATTCAAGTCGAGGACTTTAACTGCTAGGCCACTGCGTTGGGGCCTCACTGAGAATGTTAAGCAGAGGATAACTATATAAGTGTTATTGTTGTTTCTTTGCTACTCTGGGTTTGTCTTAAAATAATCTTTGTTTTAGAATGAGAAAAAATACATATTTGAAAGTTACAGTTATAGAAGAGTGAGGTCTTCCATCCAGGGTGCTGTCCCCAGTTGGCTGCAATGGCCAGCACTGCTCCAGGCCAGAGCCAGGAACTTCTGGTCTCCCACATGATTGGCAGGGGCTCATACCTCAGACACTTAGACCGTTTTTATAAATCTTGGAATATCTAAAGCCTGCACAAATGTAGAAAAGTTCAACAGTGAACTTTTGTGTAGTCATCACCCATCAACAGTTGTCAATTTTATGCCAGTCTTATCTTTGAGTTTGTTTTTTTGGCCTTGTGGAGTACTATGTTTGAGGTTCACACACACAAAAATCACCTTTTGTCGAACATAATATTAAATATTCAAATGGAGATATTTACACCTGCATGCCAATTAATGATGGACTAGTTGAATCAAATGTAGTAAATTCAAACACTGAAATAGTATATAGCTGTTAAAAAGGGTGAGCAGTATCTGTATAGTTAGGTATTAACTCAGGATACTGCTGTGCAGAATAGTGTGTAAGTATGCCATATTGTGTAAGAATTGTGAGTGTGGACATTTTTTTGTACTTTTTTAAAAGGTAAAGAAATATTTAAGAACTAATGAGTTTATGAAAAAAATGTAAGGATAGAAGTCAGTCTCTGAATGTTCAATATTTTGTGGTTTGACTTTAGATTTAAGTAAGTACATGATGATGTCAAAAGAAATAGTAACTTACCGATATAAAGCAACTTTATGCCATTAGCATAGCTATTAAAAAAATAACAAGGGCCTGGTGTGAGAGCCTAGTGGCTAAAATCTTCACCTTGCATGCGCTGGGATCCTGTATGGGCACCAGTTCTAGTCCCAGCAGTTCCACTTCCATCCAGCTCCCTGCTTGTGGCCTGGGAAAGCAGTCAAGGACGGTCCAATGCCTTGACCCTGCACCCGCATGGGAGACCTGGAGGAACTCTTGGCTGCTGGCTTTGGATCGGCACAGCACTGGCCGTTGCGGTCACTTGGGGAGTGAATCAATGGATGGAAGATCTTGCTGTTTCTCCTCCTCTCTGTATATCTGACTTGGCAATAAAAATAAAATAAATCTTTTATTTTTTAAAGGCATAAATGAATTTTGTCCTTAGGCTTAAGTCCTGTCCCCAAGATATCTAATTGTGTATGTGATCCAAATATTTCAAAATCGAAAAACTCTGCAAATCCTTCTTTCCTCAAATATTTCAGATAAGGAATAGTCAACTTGTATAGAAATGTGGATACAATCTGTTCAATAGAATGGTTTTTGTCTGTATAGTTTTTTTCCCCAAAATGTTGGATTTGTCTTTTTAAAATTCCACTAATTATGTTTTAGTCCTTAACTTAAAAGTTCACAGCTTGCAGACATTTGCTATTCCAGGTTCAATATTTCTCAGTATACTCTCAGGGTTCCTTTATCCCTTTCCTCTAGCCTTATTTCTTGTTTGTTTGGTAAGTATATAGATGGGAATTGGTAAACTGGAAAAAAAAGTATCTAAGTCATGAGGATGATGATGGCATCCTAGCTGTTTTGGCTCAGTTAATGTCCATATGATACCTGTTAAGTCCTTCTCTAAGGAGGTCTTACAGTATGGGTGATTTTCTACAACAGACGTATTGTCAGATTGATTGCATTGTTGTGGTCTGTTTTAGCCTTTTTCCTGTTTTGTTTTGTAATTCAAATCTCTTCTCAGCCTTTTGGCTAAGCTCAAGTGTTTTATAATTCAGATCATCCAATAGTATTGTTGGGCATAGTAAATTAAGTCCTAGAGCTGGGAGTTCTATTTTTAAGCCTAGTAATTGGGTATAAATTTGTTTTTAGGAACTTTTATTCTTAGACTGAAGGCTAAGATTAATTGCTTGGGTACAATCCAGGTTGCCAATTTTAAGTAATCTTATGAGTTTCCGCTTGTTGTGGGAAAGGACTAGATCAAATGGATTGCTGATCTCTATGCAAGAGTTATCATCCTGTCCCCAGAAGAGGGAAATGTGCAGCTTTTCCGTGGGTGAATGTTTCTGTGAGCAGCTTGGCAAAGTATAAAATGCTTGTGTCCTCTTGTTATTTTCCAGTGTTCTGGACTTGGTGCCTCATTTTGCTATATGCTCTCCTATTTAGTTGGGAGGCCAGTTGTGTACAAATACCTAACAGAGAAAGCAGTGAAATGGTCACAACAGGTAAGCATGTCTTTTCTTCTTTTGAAAGAGAGGAAGAAACAAAGGAATCTTCCATCCATTGGTTCACATCCCTGAATGCCCACAACACTCAGGTCTGTGCCGGGCCCAAGGCATGAGCCAGTAATGTCATCTCCATCTCCCACGTGAGTGCAGGAGCACAGCTACTGGTACCATTTTCTACCTTCAGAGCTGTGTTAACAGGAATCTGAATCTGAAACAGAGTAGCCAGGACTCAAATAAAAAGCAGCATTCTAGCATGGGATGCAACATCCCAGGTGTTAACTTGCCCCTCTTCACCACAGTGCCATCCTGAAACAGGAGCTTTATATGGTTCTCTCATGTGGGTGCTGCTTTCCCAGGTGAACCAGCAGGGAGTTGGATTGGAAGAGGAGCAACCAGGACTTGAATTGGTGATCATGACCTTATGGGATTCCAGAATTGCAGATGGCTTCTTTTTTTTAGATTTATTTATTTTTATTGGAATGACAGATTTACAGAAAGAAAGATCTTCCATTACTGTTTCACTCCCCAAGTGGCCACAGTGGTCAGTGTTGAGTTGATCAGAAGCCGGGAGCCAGGAGCCTGTTAGGGTCTCCTACATGGGTGCTGGGCCCCAAGGTTTTGGGCCGTCCTTCACTGCTTTCCCAGGCCACAAGCAGGGAGCTGGAAGGAAAATGGAACAGCCGGGATACGAACTGGCACCCATATGGAATCCGGTGGCTGCAGGGCTGGCATTGTGGTATAATGGGTTAGAGAACCACCTATGGGGGCCCAGCATGGTAGCCTAGTGGTTAAAATTGTTGCCTTGCAGCCACCTGGATTTCATATGGGCGCTGGGATTTTCATATGGGATGCTGGTCCTCTACACTGTAAATTTAATCAGAGAATTTGAACCTGTTTTAGTGCACTGAGTTAGTCTATTACCTGCAATGCTGGCATCCTGTATGTGTGCTAGTTTGAGTTCAGGCTTTTCCACTTCTGTTTGCTAATGTGCTTGGAAAGCAGTAAATGAGCACTCAAGTGGTATATAATTGCCTTTCAATAAAATAAATAAATAAATCATTAAAAAAAACAGGAAAAAAAGGCATTGGTATAGTTAGATACCTTGCATATTTTTTGGTGGTGCTGCGTGCTGTCCATGGGTCACAGGAAAACTTGCGTCAGCCAGCTCCTCTGACATAGTTCATCATTGAAAACAATTATTACCTAATCAGGATCTCAGCAGTGGAGATTCTGACTGACAATGGAAGACAAAAGCAATACTATAGGGGATCAGTGCTGTGGCAAAGCTCTTATTTGAGTGCTAGTGTGAGTCCTTACTGTTTCACTTCCAGTTCAGTTTCCTGCTAATGCACCTGAGCAAACAACGGATGGCCCTATTCCTTGGGCCCCTGTACCCCATGCAGGAGCTGAAACGCCTGACTCCAGGCGTTGGCTGGCCATTGTGGCCATCTGGGGAGTGAACCAGTAGATGGAAAATATCCCCCATAACTTTGCATTTCAAATATATAGACAGTTTTGAAACGTACTGTACACAAAGGACTATCCTAACATTGCTCAGAGAATCTTGTTTCTGTAAAGAATCAGAAGAAGCAGACTTGAATTTCACAGGAATTTAGGATCATCTGTTTTACTCCTTTATTGTGCAGATTAGAAAATTAAGTTTTGTGCCCTAAAATCAAAGCAAGGAATCTCTGATTTCTAGACTTCTGGCATAGCCCTTCGCTTTGTACTGCATAGATCCTGGATGAGTAGTTTTGCCTGTAAGTTTGCAATAACTTTTTCTTTTTTTCCCAAGTGAACTCAATCAGCTGCTGAAAGGAAGCATAAACTAATCAGTACTTTATTTCCTCAGATCAGTCCTTCTATATCCTTGTTTAACCTCATTGGTCAATAATGAATGAGTTCATGCATGCAGTGTTTATGTCGATATCATGAAATATTTATATGAATGGGCCCCCCACACCCACACTTATAACACTGGGGTGTAGTCCTGGCTCTTGGCTTCAAACCCTACCATTTCAGCCATCTGGGGAGTAAACTAGTAGATGAAAGACCTCCTTCTCTGTAACTGTGACTTTCAAGTAAATAAATAAAAATCCTTAAGAAAGGGTTTATCTGAGGGCTTGACACAGTAGCCTAGTGGCTAAAGTCCTCGCCTTGCATGCACCCGGATCCCATATGGCTGCCAGTTCGTATTCTGGCTGCTCCACTTCCCTCCCAGCTCCCTGGGAAAGCAGTCAAGGACAGCCTAAAACCTTGGGATGCTAAACCCATGTGGGAGACCCGTAAGAGGCTCTTGACTCCTGGCTTTGGATTGGCTCAGCTCCAGACATTGCAGCTACTTGGGGGATGAACCAGTGGATGGAAGATCTTCTCTGTCTCTCCTCCTCTCTGTATATCTGACTTTCCAATAAAAATTTTAAAAAATATATTTATCTGAAAATTTAAAAAATTGTGTTTATTCATTTGAAAAGCAGACTAACAGAAAAATAAGCAAGGAGAGAGCTCTTTCATCTGCTGGTTTACTCCTCAAGTAACTGCAGTAGCTGGGTTCAAGGCAGGCTGAAGCTAGGAGCAGGGTCTTTACCCTGGTCCCCCATGTGGGTGACAGGAACTCAAGCCTTTGGGCTGCTTTCCACTGCTTTTCAAGGCACGTTAGCAGAAAGCTGTATTGGAAGCAAGTGATCTGAAATGCAATGTCTGCATTGCAGGTGGCAGCGTTCAGGCTGTGTCACAACATGGACCCCATCTAAAACTTTTAAAATTCAGGGTTAGATTTGTTCATGTGATATTAGACTATTACAAGGTAGAGACTAAATTAAACTTTGATCCTAGTTATAATGTTGGCATTTTAGTTATAAATATGATTGTGCATGATTAGGTTAATCAGAGTCATTAAATGAATTCCCTGAAGTATCAAGCATTTAAACTGGAAATGTAATATTGATATTAAGGAAGTTCACTTCAGTATTTACTTTTGATGATGCTAATCCTTTTCTTTCTTATGACAGGTTGAGCGTCACAGAGACCATCTCATTAATTACATTATATTTTTGAGAATAACGCCATTCCTGCCAAATTGGTTTATTAATATTACATCTCCTGTGATAAATGTACCATTGAAAGTTTTTTTTATTGGCACTTTCCTCGGTAAGACCTGTGGCTCACACTGTGTTTGAGCTCATTGTGTCTGTGTCGGAAGATTTCTGCTGCGCCAGATTCAGTATTGTGTACAGACATCCAGCACTGCGTAGTCTCAGACACAAGGCCTGGCCATGTGAATGGGTGCTCAGCAGTATTTGTTGGGTTGTGTAGGTGTTTTTGTCTCACCTCTTTGAAGAACTATACTTTCTACTAAATACTGTTTTTAACAACAGCGTTTAGTAGGACTTTGAGTAACTTCTTTCTCTTCCTCACTACCTCTCTGAGAAAATATCAAGCTTTTTTTTAAATTATTTTTTTCTTTGTCATCCAATTGAGGGTTGAAATATTGACTTTAATTTTTAGTAGAGAATTGATACCATTTCTAAAATTTAAGCAAAAAATGCTTGTGTAACATTTATTGTGGGTATTAGCAGAAGTATCCAGAAATAAGAATTAACAAATACTATAGTTTCATTGAAGTGAAACCATGTTTTGAACTTCATCAGTAGACATAAAGATTTATTTATTTTGTGAATTTTTGTAGTTCTTTAGCAAGAATGTTCTGCTTTCTTGAATTGTTTAAATACTAATAGAATGAACAGATTTTTTATATATTGAATATCAATTAAAATATATCTTAGCACTTGTGAGAACAGATCTTTTTGGAAAGCATAATCACAATTGTTTATTTTTAGTTTAAAATTTGACAGATCAATAATTATCCTTGAAACTATGTCTTTGTTCATAATTGCCGTTTCCTACAGTTGAAGTTACTAGATCACAGAATGTGGCTTTTAAGATTATTGATAAACATTGTAAAGTTCTCCTCTGAATGCTTCTCTTGGATTTTTAAAGAGAAATCATTTTAAACTCTTAGCACAAAATGATGATTATAAAAGGTTGAATTCCTTTTATGGAAATAAACTTTAAAAGCTTTAAATTCTCATATTTTTTCCAAAGTGGAAATACCTGTACTCATATTCTTAGAAATACTGTGCACACAGAAAATTTTAGCTTCTATTGACATTTTGTATGTTTTTACAGTGTGGCTTTTTGTTTTTCTTTTCAGGTGTTGCACCTCCTTCTTTTGTAGCGATTAAGGCAGGCACAACATTGTACCAGCTTACAACAGCAGGAGAAGCTGTTTCATGGAACTCAGTATTTATTCTCATGATTCTGGCTGTCCTTTCTATTTTGCCAGCCATCTTCCAAAAAAAACTAAAGCAGAAATTTGAGTAAAAAAAAAAAATCATCAAGTTTTTAATTTTTCTGTCATCATCATCATCATCATCATCATCATCATCTCAGGATTGGCAGGTGCATCCATTTATGTTTTGAATCACCTCTTCAGTAACTGAAACAAAGAATTTGTAAAATAAAAATTTCTACCAGTTTAAAATAATAGGTTTAAGTGGCAAGGGAAAGAAGAAAGTGTAAAATAACATTGATATACTCTAAAAATTGCTATCAAGAGTTATGGCGAACATCTTAATTATGGTACTAAAAATAGCTGTAAGTAATAGTAATGTGGAAGAAAATATTCAATTAGTATCTTTTCTGTCTCATAACATATTCTAGATTTTATAAATAGCATTGCAGTTCTTGGTAATATTAGCCTTCTTTCAGCAAATAAACTACATAGGTAATAGATTAAGAGATTTGCATTTTTCTTCCTCTTTGTTACTTTGAGGTAATAGATTTGTGCATTTTAGTTGACCATTGAATAAGGAAAAGCTAAGAAGTTACATAGTTTATAACATTTTTTGTTCTAGATTTTTATCATGCCTTAGTCCAAAATTTGACATTCTGTTCAGTTCAGTCCATTTTCATTTTTTTTTCTAGCTTTTATGGTATTTCCACTGTGCATATTTGAAATATGGATTATATGTTAACGCTATTGTAATTGTTGATAATTCATACACTCAGATAATATTTTATTATGATGCCTCTTCACTGTTGAGGAAGGGGATCCAAAAAGCAAACACTCAATGAATGCAGTTTTTAAGACATTAGATTCTTTTATGTCTGGAGATAGAGTGGCTAGACTCAGTTTCTTCTAATGACTAAAATTTACCTCATTTATTTATTAGTCTTCTTAATAAGAAATGTATTATGTAACTATTCTTTTAAATGCATGATATATCTATGAAAATGTCCTGTTTCTGGCTTTTTAGTTTGGGGCTGTTTTTGATTAATGCAGTTTCTCAATAATTTCACTTTTTTTTTTAACTTACAAAGTAAAATTAACTTCTCACATGGGAACTACTATACTTAAATTGTTCTAGAAAAATGAAACCACTTTTTGTTACTTCGTTAGTGTTCATGTCTTTGATTCCTTGATTCTAGAACATAGACAACCTGAACTACTCTCTTGGTTTTACCTCCACCCCAAAACTGTTGTCATGTTGAAAAATAGTTCACCTGTGTAATAAGCCCTTGTATGTTTTGTTGTGAGAGATATAATCATCCTCAAAGCTTGTTTCATAATGTGGATTAATTCTTTATTTTTTTTTCTATCACAGTATTAACAAATGAATTTATTGTAAATACAAAGCAAATATATTGATTAATATAGTATTCTTATGCCACCTGGCCTCTTTGTGAAATTATTTATTGTTACTTTTAGTAAGATTTTTTCTTACTGGCCAGAGATTGAGTGATAAAGCTTTTGTTATTTTTGCAAGTAAACCTACAACACAATCTTCTTGAACAGAATTCACTAAATACACCTGTATAAAAGATAATGGAGTCAATTTTTATGAGCCTTTTAAAATAAAAGAACTTGAATTCAACAGAAGCCTTGGTGCTCATGTGTGCATGTCTTATATTTTCTCTGTTCTTTTACTTTTTTTCCTGTTAGAAAACTGTAGCTGCCAATTTATTTTGTAATTTTAATTTTTGCTGTTGTCTGCATAGCTAAGAGGGATGCAAGCCTATGTGGACTTCCAGTTAGAGTGGGGAGGGTGGAGGTGTGGAGCGTCTGCAGAGCTGGAAAGGGCTGCTCCTCGCTGTTAGACTGTATCAGCGCCCCAGGGATAGGGGAAGGTCATTCAGTGCTGTGCTGCTTTAGAGACCCTGATGGAGGGAAGAGTTTTCCAAGAGTCTTGATCGTTCTGAAAAGTTACTGATTTCATTGCGCAGGGTTGAAAAAAAATCTTTCCAAAGTGTATTGGCTGAGAAAGTCCATCTTTGTGCATGCACAGATCCAGCCACTTGCTACAAAGCTTGGCCAGGAGTGTTCCAGCGTGTTGTGCCTCCCATCCTCTAACAATGCCTTGATGAGCTAGCTGGCTTTCATGTCCCCCTGTTCATCTGGTCCTGATCTCTACCACAGAGGCCCTGTTCTGTTACATGCACGTCAAGGTTGGACTGTGATTTCCCTTGTGCCTGGGGTTTAAGTCCAATGAGTTAGTTGTTGAATCTCCCAAGAAACCTTTTCTGGGGGGACCTCAGACTTTTGTGTGTACCAGCTAGTGCAAGTTCAGATTCAGTCCATTACCTGCCTCAGCCAATGTACACACCAACAATTACCTGGTCGATTTTGCCCCCGGCCCATCTCCCATGATAACTGATGGGTGCTCTGACCTAGCCCAGCCCATCGCAGCTGGGTCCTCATGCACACCAGCAGATGCCACGCCTATTTGGGGCAATCCCCAATAACTCCAGCTAGGTCTGCCCCCCAGCCCTAGTTTTCACGTGTGCTGGCATGTGCTGTGACCTAGCTCTTTCTGTCCTGAATCCCATCCAGCTCTCATGTATACCCATGGGTGCTACAGCTTAACTCAGTCCAACCCACTCCCAGACCCAGCCCATTTTTTTTTAACTATTTTTTTTAATTGGAAAATCAGATATACAGAGAGGAGGAGAGACAGAGGAAGATCTTTTGTCCGTTGATTCAATCCCCAAGTGACTGTAATAGCTGGAGCTGCGCTGATCCGAAGCCAGGAGCCTCTTCAGGTCTCCCACATGGGTGCAGGGTCCAAGGCTTTTGGCTGTCCTTGACTGCTTTCCCAGGCCACAAGCAGGGAGCTGGGTGGGAAGCGGGGTCACTGGGACTAGAATTGGCACCCATGTGGGATCCTGGCGCATGCAAGGCGAGGACTTTAGCTGCTAGGCTACCATGCCAGGCCCCACAGCCCACTTTTATGCTGGCAGATACTTTTGCCGAATCCAGCCTGGCCTGCCCCTAGCCCTAGTTCTGTGCTCACCAATGGGAACAGCATTCTAGCAAAGGAGGGCCCACAGTTACCCTACCAGGTCCACTCCCAGCCCAGGATCTTCTGTTTTCCAAAGGTACTGTGGTCCAGCCTGACATGACTTGCACTTGCCAACTGGTGCTGTGGCCTACCCTGTCGCCCTGCATTCACTCTGGTTCTCATGTGTGCCAGTGAGTATAACAGCCTAACCCAGCCTGACATGCCCCCAGACCAAGACTACATGCCGACTGATGGGTACTGTAGCCCTGCCCAGAGCAGCCCAGCCCAGTCCTGGCTCTCATGCTCATCAATGGAAGTAGCTACCCATCAGGGGAGTCCCTAGAGTTCCCCTAGCAGGCCCACTCTCAGCCTGGGGTTTTGTACATGCCAGTGGGTACTGTGGATCATTCTGGCACAGCCTGTCCCCGCTCTCAGCGTTTACCCTAGCTCAGCCTGGCTTGCCCCGAGTACCAGCTCTTGCTGGGTAAAGCAGCCTAGCCCTGGCTCTCATGTGAACTGGTGAGTGTTGCGGCCCAAACCTGGCTTGGCCTGTATCCTGTCCTGGCTCTTGCCCATGCTGGAGTGTACTGCTCACAGGCCCAGGCTGGCCTGACCTTCCAGCCCTGGCTCTTGTGCTTACCAGCTGGAGCTACAGCCTGGCAGGGGAGTTGCTCAAGTTCCCTTACTAGGCCTGTTCCCAGTCCCAGACCTTGTATAATGGTGGTGCTGAAGCCCAGCTTGACATGACCTGTGCCCAGTCCTGGCTCTGACTAGCAGGGGCTGCTGCTTAGCCCAACTGGCCCACACTTATTCTGACTCTTGCCAGCTGATGTGTTGCTCCCATTTTAGATAGGGTACATTTTTTTCACTGAAGAGAATATCAAGTTTTGTCAGATTCTGCATTGACTATCAAATAACCCTTTGGTAGGCCGATATAGGTGTTTTGTTCCTTAAATACAATACAATAGGTAGCTTTTTTTTTGTAACACATTCACAGGTGGCCTGATGCCAAATATAAATTCAGGCTTCCAGTCCCAGCGCAATTAGTGGTTAAATCCTTGCCTTGCACGCCCAGGGTCTCATATGCGCACCAGTTCATGACCCCGCTGGCTGCTCTGCTTCTCATCCAACTCCTTGCTTGTGGCCTGGGGAGCAATGGAGAATGGCCCAAAGCCTTGGGACCTTGTGCCTGCATGGGAGACCTTTCTCTGCAAAGAAAGTTCCTAACTCCTGGATTTGGATCAGCTTGGCTCTAGGCGTTGCGGTCCTTGGGGAGTGAAACAGCAAGTGGGTGATCTTTCTGTCTCTCCTTCTCTCTATGTTCCTTCTCAATAATAAATAAATCTTTTTTTAAAAAATTGAAGCTTGGGGCCCGGCGCGGTGGCGCAAGTGGATAAGGTCCTCGCCTTGCACGCCCGGGATCCCATATGGGCGCCGGTTCTAATCCCGGCAGCCCCGCTTCCCTTCCAGCTCCCTGCCTGTGGCCCAGGAAAGCAGTCGAGGACGGCCCAAAGCTTTGGGACCCTGCACCCGTGTGGGAGACCTGGAAGAGGCTCCTGGCTTTGGATCGGCATAGCATCGGCCATTGAGCTCACTTAGGGAGTGAATCATCGGATGGAAGATCTTCCTCTCTGTCTCTCCTCTCTGTATATCCGCCTTTCCAATAAAAAAATAATAAAAATAAATCTTTAAAAAAAAAATTGAAGCTTGAACCACTTGTTGAAGTTACACAATTACATAATATACTACTCAAGAGAACAAGGCTGTGTAGTCGAGAGGTAAGCAGACCAACTAGGAAGTTAACACTAGTAAGATTATTCCCTGTCTAGTCAGTGGCCTCTCAGGTGCTACTTCCTTTGTAACATTTCTAGGACACTTAATAAATACAAGTCACAGTATAATAAAATGTACTGTAGAAACTTAAATGTCAAACTTGAAATTTATTTCATGGACGTACTTATGTTTAAACATTTCTCTTAAAGAAAAGTTTATCCTCTTGACTTTTTTTCAAAGATTTATTTATTTTTAATTGGAAAGACGGATTTACACAGAGAAGGAGATACGGAGAGAAAAAAATCTGTCCGATGATTCACTCCCTAAGTGACCACAATGACCAGAGCTGAGCTGATCTGAGTCAGGAGCCAGGAGTTTCTTCTGGATCTCCCACGCAGGTGGAGCATCGCGAAGCTTTGAGCTATCCTGTGCTGCTTTCCGAGGCCGTAGCAGGGAGCTGGATGGAAAGTAGAGCAGCCAGGAAATGAACCAGTGCCCACACAAGATCCCGGTACACGCAATGCCAGGACTCCAGCCATGGAGCCCTTGCACCTATCCTCTAAATTTTGACACATATTTTCATCACTAAGAAAAAAAACATTATAGGTGGCTTTGAGAATAATAATTTTGAGAATACTAATTTTTTTAAAAAGATTTATTTTGTTTGAATACAGAGTTACAGAGGGAGAGAGAGAAGGAGATGGAGAGAAAGAGTCACTCCCCAAATGACCATAGCAGCCAGGGCTGGGCCAGGCTGAAGCCAGACCAGGAACCAGGAGCGTCTTCTGAGTCTCCCATGTGGTGCCGAGGTCCAAGCACTTGATCCATCTTGGGCTGCTTTCCCATCAGCAGGGAGCTGAATTGGAAGTGGAATGGCAAGAACTTGAACCAGCACGCACATTGGATGTGAGCACTGTAGGTGGAGCTTAACTTGCTATGCCACAGCTCCATGTAGGCATTTTTTTTTAAGATTTTTATTTTTATTATTTCTTTATTGGAAAGGCAGATATACAGAGAGGAGAGACAGAGAGGAAGATCTTCCATCCGATGATTCACTCCCCAAGTGAGCGCAACGGGCCGATACTACGATCCAAAGCCAGGAGCCTCTTCCGGGTCTCCCACGCGGGTGCAGGGTCCCAAAGCTTTGGGCTGTCCTCGACTGCTTTCCTGGGCCACAGGCAGGGAGCTGGAAGGGAAGCGGGGCTGCTGGGATTAGAACCGGTGCCCATATGGGATCCCGGGCGTGCAAGGCGAGGCCTTTAGCCACTTGCGCCACCGCGCCGGGCCTGGCATTTTTTTTTTTTAAGAGTTATTTATTTTTATTATAAAGTCAAATACACAGAGAGGAAGTTCTTCCGTCCGATGATTCACTCCCCAAGTGTCTGCAACAGCAGGTGCTGAACTGGTCCAAAGCCAGGAGCCTCTTCCAGGTCTCCCACACAGGTGCAGGGTCCCAAGGCTTTGGGTCATCCTCGACTGCTTTCCCAGGTCACAAGCAGGGAGCTGGATGGGAAGTGAGCAATGAGGACATGAACCCAGATCCATGTATTATCCTGTGCATGGAAAGCAAGCATCTTAGCAACTAGGCTGCTGTGCCATGATCAACTGACCTAAAAAGGCCTATTCATCTTTCACTAGTTTCTTAGATTTTTATGTCTGAGCTGTAATGGCACTGGACTAAAGAGTTCACTCATTCTGGAAAGGAAGTGCAGAGAGTGTAAGCAATATCCTCACATCTTTCAAGTTGTGTTCCAAATTTTAAAAAAAAATGAAGAAAAGAAAAAAGGAATAATAATCAGGATACAAGTATTGACATTGCATTG